GTGGTGGTGGTGGTGGTGGTGGTCAGACCGTACTCGTCGTAGTAATGATAATAATGGTCAATGATAGTCGTGGTGCTGGTGGTGGTAAGAGGAACAGTAGCAAGACCAGTAGTGGTGATACTAGTAGTGGTGGTGGTGGTCACAACATCGGTAATATTACAAGGGACTGGAATGAATAGTTAGCGCTGGTGCAAACTCGAAAATCCTTGGTCATGAGTAGTGTTCTGGCAGCAGAAACAACAGCAGGGCTATGTTGGGGTTTAGAAACGGGGTGGCTGTTGCGGGGTTATGGCTTATCAGCGGCTTTAGGACTTCGGGGTTGAGAGCTTCAGAGGTGGAGGTTTTGTATACCGAAATAAATTTTTTACTAGGAACAACAGCAGTCTCACGATCACACATCATGATCAGTGTGCGCACACCCTTTTGCCGCCCCTAGTGTGGCCAGCTCCTCGCAGGATTTTAGCCTTACTCACATGCAAGAGGTTGTCTGCCTGTCCTGGAATGCCTCGGCATCGCTGCGTTCAAATCTTCCAAGCAACATTTGCAACTGGGCTGCCTCGGCATCACTGTGTTCAAATTGTTTGAGCAAACTTTTCGCAGCCTCTGGACACGTCTTTTGCGCCTGACGCCGGGAAACGTGAAGATTGACGGTTCCCGCCATGATCGTAGGCGGCATCGCTGGGCTGTTGGCGACCCTCGGACAAACAATTCGCAACAATTCGCACACATCCTTCAGCCCGCTGCCACTAGCGAACCATTGTTCCATGTTGCGCGCGACAGATTGTGCACCCTCTCCACCAACATCCTTTTGCAAATCTTCAGTCCAATGCCCAACGGTTTCCAGGATTTTTCAAGCTCCCGAGAGCTTGCAGCCTTGCCATGCCTTGTCCATCGATGTCCACTTCGTTATCACCACTCATGCTTGCGAAATCTTGCCAAATATTCCCTCGTCTTCGTGCGAACATACATTCAGCATCATGTATTGTTGTCGCACTGGCACGCGGAGAGTCAAACTTGTTGCTGGTTGCGTCGAAAGACATTCTCACCAACGTGTCCAGCTATGCAGCTATGCATTATTTGTCATACGTCGCTGTCCCTGTAGGCGAAAATCTCACCCGGCGAACTCACCTTTCTTTGTGCAGTGGTCGCAAGGTCGTTTCTTCCGGCTGCGGTATTTCCCGATGTGTTCTGAATTTGGTTTAGTCGTGGCGGGCCGGGATTTGGCGCAAATGCGGCATCAGAAATGCTGCGAGGCAACGCACCAGCGCATGACGGCAACAACCAGAACGCTGAGATTACGGCGGCGCATATGCGACGGGATGGTCATGGCGGGTGGTTTTGGTGGTGTGGCCGTGCTTTCGCCGCCGTCACCCACAGCCTGCGACTTTCATGGCGCAAGCCCGTTGCGATTGCAGGCGAAACAACGAATACAGCTGGCTGGCCGTGTTGGAGAAGGAGAGTATAATTACGGGCAGCAGCGGCAAACGATCTATTTTGTCCGCTGGAATCGACAGATGCTCATGGTCGAAACATCCCTAACCCATTTCCAGAGACAACGGGCATCGAAGTGCAATTGCGTTGTTCCGTCGTGCTGCTGAAGTTTTTGAAGATTTCGCCGGAACATGTTGTCGCAGCCTGACCAGAATCAACGAGCATCCATACAGCCAAGATATCTCGTGACCACCAAAAACTCGGTTTCTCGAAACCAAGCGTTTTGTGCCAGTGGTGTGCGCACAACTTGAATGTCGGCGCAAGCGCAACGATGAATCACCAGACAGAGCCGTTCGCTTCGTGCGGCGGGTACGACAATGACAGACTCCAGTATCGCACGCAGGAGCCTGCACATATCGAACCCGATAGTTAATACCGTGGAGATGACGCTATATAAAGACAGAAAGTACCTTATCAGTGTGTGCAATATGTGTATCTGCGTCCTATGCATGTGCGAAGCTATCCGTCGCAAACGTCGGGCCTGCACATTCGCAGGAGCTCAGTTTTCGACCCCCGCGTCGAAATGTCATCATTATTGCGGCTGGTTCGTTCGAGCGGTCTCGTAAGAGAATTTGCTGGAGGTCATGAGATGCATCTCGTAGGAGTCGCCGTGACCGTCGCGTCCTTGAAAAGCATCAGAAGCGGTCGAGCGGGTTTTGATGGGCTAGATCCCCCTGCTCCGTGAGACAGGTCGCACCTATGCCTGGCGAGCTTCCACGTGCGCGTGCCTCTTGCAAGGAAGCAGAGTTTACGAACGTGACGCGTCGCCCCGGGCGTGACAGCCCTTTCTGGCAGGCAATTCAGGAGCCCCGAAGCTGCAGGCGGTCATCTGCATAGGAAGCGTTGCAGAAAACGGTAGAGGCTCTGTCGAACCCCACATTGAACATATATGGTACACTCAATACTCACAATTCCAGTGCTACCCACTAGGCTTCTCGGGATTCCTGTCCTAGGGCGAAGTTCGAGGCACTGGATGCAGAAGTGGCTGACGTATGTGTCATGGCGAGGTACCCAGACCCCCAGAAGGCCCAGAAGGATCTAGAAAGTCGATCCCTTGTATAAGTGGGTTCCTATAAAGTACCCTGTAGTAGTATGGGGTAGCAAGTTTTCTGGGTTCTACTTTTAGATCCTCCCGGGGGTCTGGGTATGCTTGTCGACTTATGCAACTTGTAGATCACCGTGTGGCTTTGTGGCTACCTTGTCGGCATGAGTCGACAGTCATCCCCGTGCACAAATGCGTAACAGACACTGTGTCGCATGCTGCCGCCACGCAGATCAGTGCAGGGCCAAATCGCCAGGGCACGAAGCCAGACTCCTGGCAGCCCAACAACCTGGAATGCAAGGATTCATGCAACATGATCAGGACTAAGGGTGTAGGGTTTGGCTTGGGTTCAGGGTTTAGGGTTTAAGCTTAGGGTTTGGCTTGGGTCTGGGTCATCTTGGGTGGAGTTTATATAGTTAGCACCCTAAAAGGCAACCCCCAAAACGGAACTTCAATGGAAACTACAGGTAGGGTTTGGCTTGGGTCCAGGGTCATCTTGGCTCAACATACTCCACCTTCGACCATTTGGAGGTGCATGGGACTTAACAAGTACAGTTACAAGTACCTTAATTGGGGCTATAAGAAATTATACGTAGAGTTACCTAAACCTATAGTTACTAAGTCCCATGAACC